GAGCCGGCCCTGAGCGTCTGCCGGCCCCGGGCCTGCGCCGCGTGCTCCCCTCGGCGTTTGGTTCCCGCTAAGCATCTTGGGCTTTGCAGAGAAAATCTGATTAAAACCTGGGATATCCAGTTAAAAACGCCACCTCGCCTCCCTCGGTCACACACACGGGTTTCACTCGGGTAGTGGAGGGCACTGGAATTTTGAAATTCCTCGTTGTGACCGTGCGTGGCACCCCGCTGCGAGGACGTCAGCGTTCCCCGGGGAGTGGTTGTGGTTCAAGGTCATGGACCGTCTCTCGTGAAGGCAGCTGGGTCCTTGGGCCCTCCGAGCACCCAGCCCCCAGCAGAGGCCTCCGAGACCTGGGACCGGGCTTCGGTGCGTGAGACCGAGCGGTGGGAGGAGGGCGGGGGGAGCGTGGCGCCCCTGTGAGAAAACGCTTCAGGTCATGTCACTTTTTATCTGTCCCCTGGGCTTCATGCTTCTCTCTCCTTCTCTGCTGAACTCGAACCCCTACTGGGGTCAGGCGCAGGCCTGGTGGCCGGCCCGAGGCTGCAAGTGCGCAGTCACGTCAGTGTGTGTTGGGGGTGCAGAGAATGGACTCCGGTCCGCCCGGCCGGGGGGACCCTGTGTGACGGCAGCTGTGAGCTGTGAAGGGACAGCCCGGCAGCAGCCGCAGGTGAGCACGGAGCCCTGGGTACACGGCCACCTCGTGAGCCCAGCAGCGCCAGCTTACCCAGACGACTTTGCTCCCGTGCATTAGCACCCCCAGAACAGGAGAGCCCCGCTATTGCCAGGGTCCGTCTGCTCCTTTAAAAAGGGGTTGGGAAGGTGTAAATAAATCCAGGTCTCTTGTTGCTAGTCAAAGAGAACTGGGGTGGGGCAGAGGGGAATGGCAGGGACATCCCGGAGCCTCCGCCACGTGGCAGTGCTGGGCCTGGGCCTGTCACTTAGTCCGTGAGGGAGTTTTATCGACAGGTGAGGAAATCAGGACCCAGCAGACTTTTCTCCCTGCAGCTGAGAAGGTGACCAAGATTTCCACGTAGGTCTGAGAAAGCTGAAAGCTTGCGGTCTTCCCCGCACACCTTCTGCCTCAAAGTCAGGGTGTGCCCCGCAGTGAAAACCAGCAGGTTGGGGGGAGTGAGCACGGTCACGGGTGAAAGGGCCCTGCGCCGGCCAGTGCTCGCAGCAGGGGGTGGGACCGCGCACAGCCCCCTCCTTTATGGCTGAAAGCAAACCTTGAAAAACGAGTTTTCCCCTGATGCTGAGCTGGAGGAACAGTGTAATCAGCACAGAATAGGCGATTTTATTAGCCAGGGTTTCACAGAGGACACGGAAGCAGGATCTGCTCACTCGGGGGTTTCTGGATTGGACCGAGTCTGGGGTCGGGGTGTGCAGGCGTGCACCCCTGTGCACACGCGTGTGCGGACGTGTGCGCATGCACCCGGAGAGAAGGCGAGACGGGCTGCTGAGGTCTGAGCTCCGGGTTTGGGGACGTGGAGTGCGGACCACGCCCCTCGGCCTCGCCTCTGCAGGCCACATCCCTGCTGTTACTGAAGCAGCTGGCACAGTGTGAGGTTTTAAATCTGGTGGCCCCGGGGCTCTGGCATTTTGTGCTGTGGATGAAGTAGGAATGAGTCTTCTTGGTAAGGCCAGGCTGAGCCTGAAGGACTGAGATTTTGGTGTAAAAATTGAGAAACGGGATTCTGTCTTCATAGGGGGCAGGGGGTGAGCCATCCACGCCCACATAGGTGCTCTGAGCAGACGGGGGCTCCTGGAGAGGAGGTCAGGTTGGCTGCAGGCGGGCAGAGCCTGTGCTCGCCTGTGTGAGGCCAGAAATACCGGGTTCCCAGCCCTGCGGTTGGCGGTGCCCTGGACAGTGTTTTTACCAGTGTTTTGTCGAATGAGAGAGAGAGAGAGAGTGAGTGGAGCACCTCGGTCTTACCCAGCGATCCCTGCAAGGCCGGGAGAGGCCCGGAGCAGGCCGGTGTCCACGGGAGGGATCGAGCCTTGAGAAAGCGCGCCAGGTATCGTCCAGCGGCCGCGCTTCGCTGGAGGTTTGCCGGGGTCTGTCTGTATCCACAGGGACAGGCAGGAGAGCCTCTTCTCCACGGTCGTGAACTTGCCCCGCTGGCCTCCCAGGGAGGTTCCTGTACCTTTTGTTGCACTTTTGTCACTGTGAAAAGGCGTTCCAGCTTGGGGTGGAGCGCTCTCTCCAGTCCTGGCGAGCGCGGCCTTCGGCCCGAGGGACCGAAAATGAGCGTCGCCTAAGTTCTGAAATGACCAGTTCTCCCGGCGAGACTTCGCAAGTTTTTTCATTCTTCCTTCACCAACTATTTCGGTTTTCCCTCCGTTATGACTTTTGCTCATGTTTCTAGGTTCTACTCAAACCTGCCCCTCTGATGTTCCTACTTGCTAATGGATCTTATGTTTCTCTCCCGATTTCTCTTGCCCTGCCCTGTAGATCTATCAGGTCCAGCAGGTAGGCGCTCCCCCGCTCTCTGGTTTGCATGCGCTGCTTTCCTCTGGCCCAGGGCCTGGCCGCCTTTCAGAAATAACGCCTCCCACCGAAAGTGCGTACAAGTTCTTATCGCTGCCCCACTGCTCTGTTTATGAATTGCCACGGACAAGGATGTTTATTTAAGTCCCGGCTTCTGTCTCTGCAAAAAGAAACTCCCCTCAGACGCATCCGTATGTACCAAATGCTTTTCTCATCTTTGGTTTTCTGGAGAAATCAGAAAACTGTTTCTTTGAGGAGGAAAAGAATGAATTCTAGGACAAAATTAAGTCCCATTTCAGAATTTAGGAAACCCTCTGAAATCAGATATTTAAAGAGGAAGATTACCCTTCCATTTAATTTTCTTAGAAAACTTTTAAAATATCAGTGCAAGTCACCATATAGCAGGAGATTATTATACCCTTAAAACTCTGCATGAAAAACGAAATGATGGTGTCACAGTAAAATTCAGTAGCTCCCCGTGGACCTGCCTCTGTCCCTGATACTGAGAGTGCAAATGTGCGGGCTCTGTTTCCTAATATTTTGTAGAATCAGCCAAGGTTCAGAACTAAATGCTCCAAGCGGGCCAGACACAGAGACCACAGGGAAAAACACCAGATGAATGGCCCCGGTTCAGCCGGAAGGAAGGAAGGAAGGAAGGGGGGGCGAGAGGCTCCCTGCGAGTTTATAGTGTCTACACCGTCTTCCCCGTAAACGGATTCAGCTTGTTACATGTGACATCTATAGCAGTTTATTTCTGTAACTGTTTCTAGATAAAGAACAGCAACTATGTGTATCTTTTAGAGCAGCTAATAATTACATTTCATTTCAGAGGTTGGGCTGTGCAGGCCCTTTCAACACACTCTCGGTGAATTTAAAACACGGTCCCCGAGTTCCTTCACTGATGACAGCCCCACGTCGCCTTCCTTCCTGCCCCACCCCGTCTGCATCAGCACCGTCCCGAAGAGTAAAGAAACCAGCTGAGCAGACACCAGCCTCCGATGGCGCTTTGATAGTTTTTGTAGGGTCTGAGAATGAAAATGTACATTGAAGCTAGAGCCAGATCGCACGTCCAGAGTCTCAGGGAAGGTAGCAGGTAGAAGACAAGGCTGGACCCTCGCTGGGCCTGGGAGCAGATGTCACTGTCCCAAACCTGGACGAGGGACTCCGTCTGCTAATTGCTACTTTGATCCATCCCTTCGTTACTAGTCCCGGATCACTGTTAGCTTCTTTTCACGAACCCGCCTGGGATGTGCAGTTAGAGTGTTGCCAGGATAGACCCAGAAATTACAACCAGGCCTATTAAGTTTCTCCAAAGTGACCCAAAAAGTGAGGATGTAGCAATGTAAGCCAGACGGTTTAAAACTGCATTTCCTAAGGACAGTTTGAATTATGTTTTTATTATAAAAAATTGCGCACTGATAAGCAGAAATTAATCAGAACCCACAGGCTACAAGGCAGAGGTACTTACTCTTAGAATATTTCATTTCTGTGTTTCTAAGAAGTATGCTCAAGTATTCTTACATAGTTCCAAAGTAAAATTTTATTTTTGCTTTAATAGACCTCAACTCAATCGTAAAAACAATCAAACAGAAAAGCACAGTGACACTAGTCCTCAGCGCGAAAGCACATACGCGTTTCTGTAATAAAGCCGGGCCCAAGGCCGCCAAGAAACAGGGCGAGGCGGCAGTGAGGGCTCTCGCCCAGCCCCTGGAGTGCGGGTTCTCTTCTATGGAATCGAAGCTATTTCTGAAAGTCAAGCCCTTTCCCCTCTGCCTGGCCCCCCCCGCATGGCTCACCGGCTAACCCCTGGCCCCGTGGGAGTGCTGAGTGTGCTGTGCCCGGGACCTGCTGCACTGACCCGCGCCCACCTCGGAGCCACGCCTGCCTCACCTGCTTCCACGGCCGGGTCGCCTCCCCGGGGGGTGACGTGGGGACATAGCGGGGATTCCAGCGGCTGCCCCTCTGGCCACCCAGGAACTGGATGGAGAACCTGAGTCCTGGGTCTTCATCATGAGAACAGCAGCAGGCAGTGCAGGCCTCGATGTAGGGCTGGCAAAAAGCAGGGTAGGAAAAAGGGGTAACAGAGGCTTCTTTTGGAATTTAAGTAATATTTTGTGAGTGTGCACAGGCCTCGCCTTTCCTGAAACACATTTTCTGTCTTTGTAATGAAGCCCTGAGCTAAAGGGGGTCGCCCGTCTCACAGCCGACAGTGGGAGTCGGGCTGGTGTTAGCCGAGTGCGGAGGAGCTCGAGGCCCTGGCGCTTCACGTAGCTGATGTTAGCGCGCGCCCGGGACGTGTTCCCTTTTATTTCCTGTCTCTTTATCGTCTAAGGCACGTCGCTTACAGAAAAAGACATGGCTCGTGTGCTTTCGATACTGAGTTTTTAAAGTGGGGTTAAATTCCCCCTCCCGATTTTTACGGTCCTAACTTTCCGCTTACGCCCCCTCGAAGAGGAAGGGGCAAGGCCGCGGGGATCACGCCACAGCCGGGCATGTGCCCTGGCCGGGCATCGAACCGCGACCTCCCGGTTCATGGGCCGACGCTCACCCGCTGAGCCGCTCCGGCCAGGCTGAATCCGCTTTTCTAGCTCTGACTTGGACGCCATGGTTTAGACGAGCCAGGTGCAAACGTGGAGGCACGAGCTGAAAAAGTCAGAACGTAACTTGCAAACTTAAGTTTTCCCTGTGCAAAGGCCTCTCCCTCCATGGCTATAAAGACACCAGAGATCATAAGTTGAGCACAGGTGTCAGAGGGTGGGAACTAGTGCACCAAAAACCCCGGGGATCTCACAGTGGCCCCCCCTCCCCCAGCCCTAGGTTTTCTCAGTCCTGTTGTGGCGACACAGGCTGCTGTCCGCCTGTGCCCTCTGAGCCAGTCCAGAGGCCTCCAAGGTGCTGCTGGCTCATGCCCATCCCTGGTCCATTCCTGGGCCCCAGGATGCAGCATCCTGGGCACCCTGGGCTTTCAGGTGGGAGGGGATGGGAAGGGGTGTCCCAGGCTCCACTGCCTCGGGGGCCGCCCCTGCCGAACCCCGCCTGCATCACCGCTTTGTCTTGGCGTGTCCCCTCACCGTGTGGCCTGGGCGGCGGCTTGGGGATGCATGTCACAGAAGCTCCTTATGCATTTTCCATTTATTTCCCTTCTCGCCTAATTCTCTTTCCCTTCTGTCTCTAGAAATATTATGGGCTGTATACCAAGTGGGGCGACATCGAGCAGTGGATGGTAGGCCTTGAATGCAGTTTTCAGAAACTTGCATGGTTTATAATTTGATTGCTACACAGTTTAATTACATAAATGGATTCCTGCTGCACCATAATTGAATACTGAGAGGTCATCTGCCGGGGTCTCCTGCGTCCAGCCTGGCCGTTTACATCCCCTTGAGGCCTGGGCCCCAGCCAGATACTTGGTCTGGGCTGTTCAGCAGCAGCTGACTCCCGGATTCTCCAGGCCGGTGTTGAGGAGATCGCCTCCCTCCCTGACCTCCCAGGGCAGAGGACTGTCCTCTAGGGATGCTCGGGCCACGTGTGAGGCTCTGGTCGGAGCCCAGAGGCCACATAATGTTCCATTTCCTTCAGTCACAACTGCACTCAGCTGGCTGGTCGCCCTCATTCCTGCCTTTACCTGCCTTCAGTGTTTGCCCCACCCCACCTCGCCCGCTATGCCCTTCGAAACCACTGTTCTTTGAGGGGAAATTTCCTAGACCCTCTCCCTGTTTCCTAGAACAACTCCTCTGTCTTCCTGTGTCAGTAGAGAGCCGGCTGCCCCCTAATGATACCCAGTCCTTGCCACCCGCCCAGGAGGATGTCCTGGCCCGCAGCGTGCATCCTGGGCGCTGTCCACAGCCCCGAGAGGATGTGGCTTCTCCTCTCGTTCATGCACCTGAATGTGCCCCCTTCTCCTGTCCTTGTCCCTGGCCTCCTGGACATTATTAGTTGGCCAGCGTGGAAATGTCCAGATAAATATCGCCGATACATAAAATAATCTAAGGAAACGTAAAATTCCTTCCTAACATCGTAGATGCCCATATAAAACATAAAAGGCAAGAGTTCTGGAAATACAAAGAGCGCAGGCCTCCTAAGAGCGACGGACTTCAGCCCTTACGGCGTGTAACCGTCTCTCAGGCTTCCGTGGCACAGGCGGATGTATTTGTATCCGATCTGAAGACACTGTGAAAAGGTGTCTCTACCACCGAGAAAGAAAAAAGCTGCTAATTGTGAGCAACTCGGGTTCTAAGGCGTTCCCAACGTCAGGGATGTCCCGAGGTGGGAACTGCATCCCCGGGCACACAGGGTACCAGAGAGGGCGGCGGCCTCGTGTGCTCTCAGGGAGGTGAGTTCCAGAAGAGAGCAGGCTCCGATGTAAGAAAGAAAGCGGGGGGAGTGAAATGGACCAGACGTCAGCAGCTAGAAACTAAATTAAGACTCGGCCTCTCCCCCTCCGCATGCTTGTTTTGAAAGCCAGACTGAAAGATGCCAGTTGTTTGTGGGTTTAAATACCCCCCGTAGAAGAAAACATTTCTCACCAGCAGTTTAACTGAGGCCTTTAAGCAAAGGCGAAGGAAGTGTTTGGTTTACATCAGGAGCATGGTGCAGTGACTCAGTTGCACTGTCTGCCCCCCCCCTCCGCGTCTGCCTCTAACTTTCACGCTGTTTCCCCCGTTGCTCCTCTAGGAGGACAGTGAGCGCTGCTCACGCAGATCCAGAAGGAACACATCGGTTAGTGCCGCCCTCCCTCCTGACGTGGCAGTAGGTGGAAACCTAATCTGTATTTTTAGCGGCTGAAATATATATGTGACATATGCCTATGCATAGCTCGGTGACATTTATTAAAGAAATTGAAAGGGATATTATTTCCTATGCAAAGGCTATAAACAGCCTGTAGCATTTTGACCTGTTTGGGGAGGGGAGCGTGTTTGAGAAATTTCTGGGTGTTAATGTGTTCGTGACAGTCCCGGTGCTGCTTCTGCTATCAAATGAATGCCCGTGAACACTTCGCAGAGTAGCATGCGTCGAGGCTACGGAGTCGAGACTCCAGCGAAGTAATTGATGGCACTTTACCAAAATGAATTGAAAGCCGTATTATCTGGAAACAGCCCACCGAAAACAGAGGCGCACAAACAGCACTGGAGCTGGCGAGGACCTGGCTCAGGGCCACGAGGTTTCTGGAGGCTGCGAGTCGGCGCCTCCCTGAGAGCCAGCGTGGGTCTCCTTGTGCTACGTTGTTGCTTCGTGGGTCTCCTTGTGTTACATTGTTGCTTCCTGGGTCTCCTTGTGTTACGTTGTTGCTTCGTGGGCCTCCTAGTGTTACATTGTTGCTTCACACCTGTCTCATCTCTCTCACCAGGTTTCTGATGAAGACGAGCGCGTGTCAGTGGGTAGTCGCGGAAGCCTGAGGGTCAGTAGCCGAATGCTCACGTCTGCATGGCTCGGTCCGTGTCCAAGTCCCTTCTCACCCTGCACTCACCCCTCGCTTCTTGTCCCCGTGGTCCTGTCTTTGGTATCTAACCGACGGGAGGCTTATGTAGAATCTGGGCTGCGGCGAGGGGTTTCCTTGTTGCTGTGGACACATCACTGAGAAGCAGAGGCACTTTGGTTGTGTGTTTCTCCAAGAGCGGCCGTTGCGGTATTTTTACACGTGTGGTGTGCCCGCATCCCAGCCCACATCCCAACCTGCGCGCCTCGGGGGAGCTCTTGGGCGTGGCCGGTGGGGTGCAGGCGGTGGGGGAGCAGGCTGTCAGTCATGTGCTGTTTGCACACGCGCCCGCCGGCCACACCTGGAGCTCAGGTTCTGCTGCAGGCCCCCAGTGGGAAGCGGGGTGACGGGACCCCTGGGCTGGCATCCGTCCGCCTGCAGGAGATGCTCTTCTCATCACCTTGGTGAACTCCTCTCATCACTGTCGCTTAACAGCTGATAAACACACAAAAAAACATTTTTTCCTTAAACTTTCCAAAGATATTCATAATTACATTTGAATAAGTTGTGTGCTTTGGGAAGTGAAGTTGGGAAACTATGTTTTTAGGTGGGTAAATGAATCTGGCCTGCCTAGTTAGTTTACCACGGGGTTAAAACTGCCTCTCACTGCTGGTGGTCGTCAGGTCTGGATGTAGCCACCACCTCTGACTTAAGGACCAGAGAGGGCAGAAGGCTTGTTTTTAATCACCGTGGCAACTAAATCAAGGTGTCACTCCCACACCTCTGTGGGCACTGTTTGTAACAGTAAACGGTGAAGGTGCTACATTGTTTCACTCTCCTCGAAAGTGCCAGAGGCAGGTCTTAGGGGAGGAGATAAACTTGCTCCAACTGTTTCAGATTTCAGGAATTATAGCAACATTAGCCACAGAAGTTTTAGTTAACACTATGGGATTTACGGTAGCTGTCATTTTAACGGGATTCCTTTTGCAGATACACATGAGATCCTAGAAATGAAAAAAATATAATTTTGCTACCATGTTCAGTATTGCCTGTTTCCTGTTTTTGTCATGTTTTACTTGGTTTTTTAACTGGTTCTCGCACCTCTTTTCTGTTGTTTCCCTCGTCCGTCCTCACTCCAGCAGTCGCAGCCTGATCTGGAGTCTGGGGGTCCCTACGCCTGGGTGAGATGTTTGGACTACTTGCTGTGTGATCCTAAGGGTGTCGTGTGACAGATAATAACTGGCGATGTCCCCACTAATCTCATGGGTGTTTGTCTAAAAAGCCAAGTGCATCTTTGTCCAAAAAGACATGCAAGCCACCCACCAGTCTCCGCCTGGGGGCTGTAGGCCAGAGGTGGGTGCACCCACCAGAGTGCACGGTCTGCTCCTGGGTGCCCTCTGACCCACCTGGCGGGCCCCGTGCCCAGACTGGCATGTGCACTGTTGGAACACCAGCTGTTTGCCACGCACTGTGCCAGCGGCTCTGGATCCTAAGGGAAAAAGATGGCGTCTTACTTTCAAGGAACTCACATCAAGAACTGTAGTTCCTTTAAAAGATGAAATTTGAAGTCTTTTTGCTCATGAAAAACCCATCATTTTCTAATCCATGTCCATTTGAATTAAACATACGATTGGCACCTTTGCCAGAAAGGCCCCAGTTCCAGCAACAAAACAAAGGCTTTCAGTGCAGATTGTAAATCAGTCCCTTACACCCACCCCGGAGCGTCTGCTCTCAGCTCTCTGCAGCCGTAACCGTGAGCTGCACGAGGAAAACCCCGTCTCATGGGGAAGCGCCCGCCCGGGAGCGGCTCTGGCCGTGGCTCAGCTCCACGCCCTTCGCTCTGGGAGCTTTTCTGAAAGCATCTTGCGCTTCATTCATTCAACTGCATTTCAGAATTGTTTAGCACATTCCCGTGTTTAAAAAAGGCACTTTACCTTTAAGGTGACGATAGTGCCATCCCTGCGCCTAGCCCTGGCCCCCGAGCCTTCTGGGGGCGCTGCTGGGCTCCTGGAAGGGGGAGCACCAGGGGGCAGATTGCCCAGGGGGTTCGCGGCCCAGCCCCCGGAACTGCGGGCAGCGGGAGGTGCAGATGCCTTATTAGACAGAAAAAGTGCTCTTCCTAGCATCTCCTGGGCCACCTTCCGCAGTGACACTGGTGGATGAGAGCGTTTCTGTGGCACTACCATTCCGGCCACTATTCCTTTAAGTAACTAAATGGGTTAGCGGCACATTCCTAGAGTTTAGCCCCTTTGTTTCGAACTCAGAGTGAGTTCCCTCTGGGCCCGTCCCTGGTGGGGCGAAGCGAGTGTGTTGGTGAGAGTCAGGGACACCTTCTGGGGCTCACTTTTATTTTCAGTTTTCATTCCGTCTTAAAACCCAATCCCGGGCCCAGGGCAGGGCATGTAAGGGTTGTGATTCTGCTGCTGCTTTTGTTCCCCCCGAAGGTGAACCGTCTTTTGCCTCAGTAGGAAACTAATCTCACGTCTTTCATCAGAAAAGCTAACAGCTGACTCTCGCGTGGGCTCGTGTGAAGCCGTGGGTGCCCTGAGAGCGCTGAGCGGGCTTGTGAGCCCTCACTAACCTCGAGCCCCGTTAGACGGGTCGGCTCAGGGCGCATCCTTTCTGGTATCTGCCTTTTCCTCTGTTAGAAAATGCTAACCTGTGCATGTCTGCTGCCCTCCAATAGCAGAGCCTCCCCGTGAGCCTGCACGTGAGACTCTCCTGGGGCGCTTGTAACAGTGCATGTTCCGGGCCCCTGGGTGTTTCGATGTCCTAGGTCAGGGTCCGTGGTCCCAAGAGGCAGGTCAGGTGACCGCGATGCGGGCAGGCGGCACAGCCCAGAGAGCTGGAACAGATCCCGCAGACAAGCTGGTGGGACGTCGGAGACCCGACTTAAGATGAAGTTGATATGCTGTCTGGACATTTTTTCTGATGTTCCAGTTAACTTTTGGTCTCCTGACCCTGTTACAGCACATGAAGCAGCCCCACCCATCAACATACCACACAAAACCGTCTGAGAGAGTCGGTGGTTTCTCTAAGAAGGTCGAAGTACCTTTCACCATAGAGATGCTGTTAAGATCCATAGATTTGGGGATATGTCCTAGGAGTATATTCCACGGGACAGAATTCTCTTCCAACAGAAAAGGGTGGGTGTTCCCCAAAGCCTTCGAAGTAAGCGTTGCCCTGCGTGTCCACGGAAGGCCGAGAGAGATGGCGATGGTGAGAGAGGACCTCCCGCAGCCTCGCCCACCCGCTCCGCGCGCCCCGCTGCGCCCGGTACAGAACGAGACCCAGAGGGAGCTCGCCTGCAGCGGTGGGGCGCAGGGCTCATGTGGGATACATTCTATCCCTCACTTAGTGCAGCAAAGGAAGAGTTACCCAGAGTGGACCCACGTTGGCCTCATTGTTACATTGTTTCCAGAAACTAGTTTTTAAACAGATAAGACGCTTGTTTTCACATCAAATAATCTTGTTGGTCAAGAGAACAAACTAGACTAAGTAAAATTCCTGCCCACCTCTAAACGTTTTCTCTATTCCATTTATTTTAGAAATGTTTTCATGTTTCCCCTAGAGTTTTCAGATCCAATGCTGAGGGATCGCTACATACTCTAAAGTAGAAACTTCAAGTTGGTTAGGTGTTTTTGATTGTTTTCTTGAGTTGTATCAAAAGTAAATACCTACTTTTATAGTCGAGATTTCACGAATCTGAATTTATAATCTGCCTGCAAATTTACTTATTTATTCTCCGTTAATGTCATGGCTATAAAATATGGGCTGAACGTGTCCCCGTCTCCCCTCCCGTTTTAATCCGATTTAACCCTCCCGGGGGCCTGAAAAGTCTGTATTACTGTGCACGTTTCCGCAGCTCAGGAAGAGGAGGGTCCAGGAATAAATAACTTACGGTCGCGTGACAGAGCCGCTGTTTGGAACCTGGACTCGTGTCCGCGACCCCGGCATCTGCTTCCTTTTCTGCCCACTGCGTGGCCTGCCCCTCCTCTTTCTGTCACGAGAGCTGGTTATGTCTTTGTCACTTGACAGCTGCGAAACGGCAGAAATGTCCTTGTGGACGAGTGAGAGCAGCTTCGAAAGCCCAGAGCGTTGGGTTAGGGGAGCTCAGGCTGGAGAGAGACCAGAAGACTAGAGGCAGCCCTGTGGTGAAGGACAAGTGATGGAATCATGAAATAGGGCCTCAGATTTCATTTGGGGGGGGAAAAAGTAGGAAGGCTAATGGAGAGGACACATCCTACTGTTTTCCCAGGATGAACTTTTACATTTAATTACAGACCGAATAGAAGGCGTGTCTGAATTTTCTGATACGGTTTCATCATGGGCCACGAGGGTCAGGGACTTACCCCGAACCCAGAGTTGAAGCCTGACTGGCTCGGGCCGCACCGCGACCCCCTGGCCGGGCACCCCGGCTCCTCACTCGCGGGGGTTCTGCAGCGCGGCCCGAAAGCTGCAGACCGCCCCGGCCCGCAGGCTTCGTCCATAGGAGGGGCTTTGGCCTTGAGCCCCAGCTCCCTGTGGTTACAAGTGACCCGGGGTGGGCTTCCCTGAGTTGTAGAGAAGCAGGTGGGAGGCGGGAGACATTCGGGGCGCGCTGGGACCTGGGCCGCCCTGAGTCCCGGGCCCCCCCCATCTGCTCGCCAGGAAGCTGACTCTTCCTCGCCGACCTGCGTCGGTCTGTATTCTGTCCCCACGTGTATGCTGATGTCACTTTCTTTTTCTCTTCGTTGACACAGACGAATGGTTACGATGGAGAGATGTACGGATCACAGCCCCTGAGCAGAAGATCTGGCAGGGTTAGTGCCCGCATTTGCATGGCCCGGCATCCCAGCGGGTGGCTGCAGGGCTTTTTAAAAATACTGCTCCGTTCAGCTGCTTTTTACACTGGGCTTCTTCTGGTTTTTTCCTAGCGCATGACGCAGTGAGAGCTAATGTTTTTCAACTAGTAAACGTCCTTAGAATGTGGGAGGTCTGACATTTGAGTGGTCGTGGGAGAGGCTCGTAGGATAAGGAATGCCAGGTGGGAAAGACCTAGGACTAAAGGTTAGCTCTTTCATCGTTTTATGGCCCTGGGTGCCTGTGTACGTGTATATTATGTATGTTCGGCTTTCAGCTATAGTGAAATTAGACGTCTCCAGTCTCCCACGAATCTCATCTGTCATTGTAAAAGCGGGCGTGGCCTGTGTTTTCCTGGCTGCCAGTGCGGGACGCGCCGGTGCTGGGGGCAGACCATCCTCTGTATGG